ACCCAAGAGGGCACATGTCACCCGAAACAGAGCTGCAGGACAATTATCCACAGATGCAATAAGGGCAGAGAAGTGACAGCAGTTCGCTACCCTTATTGCCACAAGGTAGGCCTTAATAGCGGCTCTAACCTATGGATGGCCAAGTTTCTCCATTGCAGAATGCCAGCAATGCTACAGACCTCTCTTCTCTTGTTTCAACTCCCTTAGCTCCTCCGTGAACCAAGGGGAGTGCCAGAATCCATGAGAGGGGAGAGGCCGCATAGGAACAATCTAATCCAAGGCCTTACCTGCCCTCTTTTTTTTTTTTTCCTGGAATGGAATGATGGGATAAAATCACTTGAGTTTTTTCTAGTTCCCCAGGTAAAAAGAATAGGGAGTTATATAACTTCTGATGAAGAGGAAATGGTACAGGGGAAGAGAGCATTTCTGAATAATCTGTGGTAATTTTTTTCCCCCAAACTGTAAAGTGTGCTTGACCTGGAAAAATGGAATCAATTTATCCTATTTGAAAATTGTGATGCTCTTTCAACCAAGATACCCTTTGCAAACCAGCATATGACTTTATGTTGATTTTCATTTATTGAGTTAGATTTGAATTTAATGGAATTTGACCTCATGGATCTCATGGACCTCATTAAAACACTCATTTTGCTCAGTGGGGATAAGACAAAGATAGCAGCAGTATAGTAAACATCATCATACAGGATTATTTGACTTAATTATCATCTTAATAGAGATTTGTCAAGTCTCTTCCTCAGCTCCCTGAAGGCTCTGTGGGTATAAAAGATTCTATCAAAATTGGATGTTTTGTTTAAATATCCCCTGTGATCCTCAAAGTTGGAGATACAAGGATGTTGTGCTCCATCAACTCAATGGACAAATGTTTATTCTCCAGTGCCTTGGCTTGCAACTGATACTTACCCCCCAAATTTGAGGTTATTCTGTCATCTGTGGGGGAGATGGAAAATTTTTTTTGGAAAGGAAAAAAAATCATTTGTGATTACAATGTTTTGGATACTGATAATATGCTTGCTCCCTAAGAATGTCTGCAAAGTTTGTTTTGCAAAATGCAGTAGCAGTGAGCCAAGCATTATTCTTCATAAATATTATCAGCCAGGAGAACACATTATTGGTGGCATAGTTTCTCAGTACCTTGTTTTTTCTGAGGAGGCCAGATTCACAAGACATCCTTTTCATGACATGTTCCCTGATTTCATGTAAGGAACTAAAACTTTGCAAGCCATAGCATGATTCTATTCTGATAAGAATTGTGGAAAATAGTACTAGATTTTAGTTATTGTTAATGGGGTATAGAAAATATCTACTTTCCACATCTATATATCTGTATCTATATCATCTATGTTTATATTGCAAAAAGTCATGATACCTCATCTGCCTCCAATAGAATTAAGGATTACAGTAGTAGTCGATGTACTAATAGTTGTAGTAGTCATTAATTAATTTAAAAAATACAGAGGTTGGAAGAAAGAGGGAGGGAGGGAGGGAGGGAGGAAGGAAGGAAGGAAGGAAGGAAGGAAGGAAGGAAGGAAGGAAGGAAGGAAGGAAGGAAGGAAGATCACAGTGGTTTGTTTGCTATTCACATTATATTTGGTCTGTAATTTGAAGGTACTAATCACTTTTGGTACCTGTGAGAATCATAAGTGGTTTCTACTTTTTAACATTTCCCAGTGAAAGATAAATAGAAACAGTGCTCTTTCTGTCTCTGTCTCTTGTTCTGTTTTTGTCTGTGTGAGAAAGAGAGAGAGTGACAAGGAGATGGGGAGAGAGAAGGAGAAAGTATGTGCATACCTGTTTAACTTGTGTGGGTAAATGTATTAGCTGTTAACATCCACACAATACTCTATACATAGTGCTGGGTCAAGGCACAGAATCACTCTTCCCAGATGTCCCTCTATGTCTTAGTTCAGTACGATGTTAGCAAACCTGTATTGTACTGAAATGCAGCAAATATTTCCTCTGAAGCAATTTAACTCTATGTATTTCTGATTTTTGAATTTCACTCTAGTGTACTGACTCAGGCCTACCAACACGTCTTAGCCTTGGTGTTTGCTGTAAAAGAGATTAATAGAAACCACAAGATCTTAGCCAATGTCACCCTAGGCTTCAACATCTATAACACTTATTTTAGTCCACGATATACCTGTGC